CGTTACCGTCAGCGAGTCAGTGAGCCTGCGCATGCCATGCCTGACAATTTGGAGTACCTCGTCCCTCCAGCCGCGACTCGCCTGCGTCCAGCCGCTCCCTGTCACCCTGTCTTCTGCAAGCCACCCTGCATCAAGGCTGCCCGCCGCATGTCACCGAACTTCCCTGTCCTGCCTCGCTGCGCTCCCGCAGCGCATCCCTTTGAGGGATCTTTGGTATACTCGGACGACGAAGACGGTCCGCCTGTAATGCTTGCCACGGCATGGCGACCCCTCGGCCACCTGCACGCCCGCCCCAAGCTAGTCCCCCTAGCCCTAGCCTGCCGAAACCTGCCCCGCCTCCTTTGCCTTTGCACAGCCTGCCGAAAAGCACAGCACCTTTCTCAGTCAAGCAGCTTGCCAAACACGACCCTCACTGGTTTCGCCCGGCCTCTTCCACCCGGACGCCTTGCGCAGGCCGCGCTTTCGGGCGCCCTCTGCTTTGCCCGGCCTTGCCACCTCCTGCCACTCAGCCCTCACGCCCGTCGCACCGACAGTCATACTCATTTGTCTCCCACTTTTGTCTCCCGATTGTCTCCCACATTTTGGATGCTCTAACGCCCGTCTGGGACCCTTGGTTCTACACGTCATACTCATTTGTCTCCTACTTGTCTCCCAGGACCCTTGGTTCGACTTGTCATACTCATTTGTCTTCCACTTGTCTCCCACATTCTGGATGCTCAAAGGCCCGTCTAAACGCCTGCGCCGGAGCCTGCGGCGCCGCAGCCTACGGGGCTTCGTAAGCGTGTCCACACGAGGCACTGCCGAGCCAAAAGAAATCAATCCAAGAGAGCCACTCTCCGGCGCCGCAGCCTCCGGCGCCGGACGCTCTGGAAGCGTCGGTTTGTCATACGCGTTACTGAACTGGGGAATGTTTCGTCAAATCGGAACAATGTTCGTGTCTGTACCTTGTAAGTTAATGGTCCGCTCCACCCACAGATGCTATACTCATGAACTGCATCAGCGAATATATCACCAGGTCAACTGCATTCGTTCCGCAAACTGCGGCGCCGGAGGCTGCGGCGCCGCAGTTTCCGGCGCCGCAAAGCTATGCGGCACTTCTTGAAACGCAGCAGCTAACATGTCCCCAAGTCAAAACGCCAGGTTAATACTGTATTCGTTCCTCTGTCTACCGCGGCGCCGCAGCCTGCGGGGCTTCGCAAACGTGTCCAAAAATGGCACCGCCGAGCTAAAAAAGAATCAGCAAATATGTCCCAGAAAACCACACTCCGGCGCCCCAGCCTCCGGCGCCGGAGGCTGTGGAGGTGTCGGTTGGGAATGCTTGGTCATGTCGAAACAATGTTCGTGTCTTCACCTTGTAAGCAATGGTCCGCTCCGGCGCCGGAGCGTGCGGCGCCGCAGAGGTCATTGCTTGGCAGGCAATTGTACCCACAGATGCTACTCATGACCAAAAGCGCCGACAAGCAATCCCACCCCCCATGCTTTCCGCTTATTTAAACTTCTAAGCGAAACCGAGCTAAAATCTGCGCGACAATTGCGCGGTTGCTATCGGTACTTCTCAGTTGCCGTTTGGGGTCGAGGCTGGTATATTTTTGTTTTTAATGTTTTCTGGTCGAAAGCATGAACATCTAGATTTTTGTGTGGTTTTCGTGGATAGGACCATGTTTCGCAGCATGTTTTTGAGTATGTTTTGTTTTTTTCCAAATGTTTTTGTTATTCTTTTTGGTGTGTGTGTGTGTGCGTGTTTTTGTTTGCGAAAGTGTGGCAAATATCGTGCCGCACGTGCATGTCGTTGTTTTGCTTTGCTCGAGTTCTGCGTTCATTTGAAGCTTTTGTTTGGAGAGCGCAAAAAACACTAGTTTTTTTGTATTGGTGGCGTCTCAAAAGTAACGTAACAACAAGGGCAGTAGGTATCGTCATCGCCATTGTTATTTTCCGCTTAAACAATCAACATCAGGCAAAACAACATTGAAATCGTCAACATCACCCCCCTCCCCCGCCCTCCCCACCAATGCACAGAGCAGAAAGAGAAACAGTACATGTAAGCTGTAAGCTGCATTCGCATGAACGTCATCAACCCCCCTCCCCCCCATCCCCCCTTTCCCCACCCCTGCACGGAGGTATGGTTCAAATGGAAGCCCAAGCTGGCAGGCACAGTGCTGCCCGGAAAAAAAGGGAAAACACAGCAGCAACCGATGCGATTCTGCATAGGAAAACACTGCAAAAAAGCTATGCGAAATGGACAGCGCAGATTTTTTGTGTGCGGCGCAGCCCAGAAATTCAACATGCTTCTTTGAGAAAACACAGCAAAAACCCTTGCGAACAAAACAATTATTTCCGAAGCAACAACATGCCAACAGAGTTTTAGCACATGCCAGCCCCGAAATCGCTCCACCCTCCACAACACCCCCCCCCCCCCTATCCCAACAAGAACCCCCCCTGTTTGCTTGAATCCTAGATGCCCCCAGACAGGCATGTCATGTACCTGCAGCAATGGCATATCACTTGCATGTATGCGCCGTTTGTTCGCCAGATCCACGAATAGCAACCCCCCACCCCTCCCTATTGAAGGGGTCTCTATCACATGGGCCTGCATGAGTTGAAAAGGAGGAAGTTCATTGCTCTTACGGAGCCAGATGGCCCGGGCAGTGATACGCGCAAACAGGCAAGGTGAGAGAGTGAGGCATGTTGTGCTGTGTTGGAAGTCCAGCACTGCTGCTCCTGTCGTAGAGTTTAGGTTCAGAGTATTGTAGTGCTGCACAACGCCGGACAGGCAGTAGTAGGTGTGGAGTCGCCATGTTTTTGCATGTGTTTCTCGGTGTTTGCACGGTGTTGTTGGTGGAAGTGGCCGGGACAGCGATGCCAGAGGAATGGCCCTTTTACGTCGACAACACCATTCACTTTTCGGCGGCGCACGCAGTACTGCTGAATGGTTTGGAGTTCACGGTCAGTGATTTCGAGATTTCGCGAGGCGCAGATCCAGACGGCCACATTTTCGTGAGCCTACGGCGTGTCTTTGCAGGCAGCAGTGGCAGCTTTAAGTTTCGGATCGGGCGCCGCGAAACGCAAGAAGTCGCCAGGTGGTTCGAGTTCATACTGGGAGCTGATACCTCACCAGGTCAGCTCAACTTCGCACTCACGGGCGACCTCGTTCTGCGAGTGACAGAACGCTACTACCTGATCAAGGATGTGCTGATCGCTCATGGCGGCATGGGAAATTGGTGGCTTGGAGGCAAAGCATGTTTCGAAGGGCGGACCAATCCTATCACTTACAATACACTCACGGATCCTTTTCTTGGTGCTGATGTTCTTCCTGACCGTCTCTACTGCAGAAGTGAAGAAGATGCTGATGGAGACGTGGCACTGGTCGGATTCGAATTCGCTTCGCCGGACCATGTTAAGGTGAATAGCATCGATACTGGCTACCAGAAACTCGTTGCGGGCTTGCTGGTCACCAAAAAAACAAGCCGTGCGCCAAAGGGCAACATATCTCTGCTGGATGCTGCAGTGACACTCTTGCCATAGTGCAAAACGTTATCTACTTTTGGTCGGCGCAGCGTAACATCCATTGCCGATATTGTTCGTAGCTTTTGTGGCTGGGACACCATGCTGCCATTTTGAGCGGTGCAGCTGCATTCTGTCCTGTGCCCGAAGAAGCAAGCAGACTGCAATCTGAAAACGAGCTCGGCCATTGTCATGTGACGTCCATTCTCCACGAAAGTAGCCCTAATCCTGTTGTGCTAGTTGGCACGGAAGCATGCCTCTGGGCTGCTGCTTGCTCATCCTCCTGGCAGGGGGGCTGCCCGCAGCTCAGGGTTTAGATGCTGGGTGCTTCGGGGTTTAAGGTAGTCCAGACTTCCGGGTTTCCAACCATGCTTTCTCTTGTCTTAGTCGTTGCTGATGCCTCATCTGCTTAAACCCGAAACCCCAAACCCAATGTCTGTAGACCTTCGAAACCCTATGCCCTCCTTAACCCTAAGCCCTTTAAACTTTACAACTTACCCCGCTCTAAACCCTTCCAAACTTGTTCCTGAACCGGGCGGGTGGGAAAAAAATCCTGAACCCAGGTCCTGTTGGCGGCGGCGCGACCTGCCAGAACACTGTGACATGCCAAGCGGCTCCTTTTTTGGATTCATGAGGGGATTCATTGGTTACTTCGGGTTTCGCGGTATTGAGGGTTCCCGTGTTTGGCAGGGCGTCTCTTGCGTTCGCGTTTCGGGGGGCTCTATGGTAAGTGCTTTTTGACTTTCGAACGCTCGCAGCTGGCAGCCCTGACAAGGAGGGTATGAGTCGCAGATACTGCATCCATCGCAAGCGACTCCGAACGGACTAAACCTGAAGCCCTAAACCCCTGATCCCGTGTCTAAACCCCTGATCCCGTGTAAGCCCTTATCCTCTGAACTTTTACAAACTCTTGGAAGCCTTTTTAAAACCATCATTGGAATCACAAACCCTTGTAATCGTGCCACAATCGTTGCTGGGAGAGAAGGCGAAGCTGCATGGATCTGCCTCGATCTGCCTAGCGCCAGTGGGCACCGCAGATCGCAGGCAAGCCGAGGCTCTGCGGCCTGTGGTGGCTGGCCATGAGCACTGCCGGCACCACTTAGTGACTTAGTCTCTGGCTTCAAGTTCGCACAAGTTGATCTCGAGCCACAGCAACAATCCAGGGAGGATGCAGAAGAGGACGGTGGCATACGCGAGCCATCTCTCTTGTGTTTCGCTAATGGCTCATCGATGAAATGTCGGACATGACTTGTTACAGGAGGCCGGCCACATGACCGCCTGAATCCAAGCTGATCCCACCATGCTCTCAAGCTCACTGACTGCCTGTTCCCATCGTTTTCGAAGAACAGCCAGATAAGGAGTCCAATGTTACTGGCCAAGTGAACCCTCTAGATGAATGGGAAGCTGGAGGGAAGAAGGCTTGCGTGGCGCACCAGACACATGCCGGGATGATATTCTGCAGCCCGGAAGTCATGTCTTCCACAACGCGCCAGGTCAGCATGGCCAAGCGGGTGATTCACGAGCTGGTGCCGAAATTCACAAAGAAGGTGTTTGGCTGTCTGCTGAGCTCACTTACACAGCTTCAGTCGAAGAGGTCATTGATTTGGTGGAGGACTGTTGGGTGCAGCATCCACTGCTGCCTTCAGAGCTCTGCACATTGAATTTCGTGCGACATCGGAGTTGCAGAGAGGACCGGTGCTTCAAGTTTGAGAAGCAGTCAAAGGGTCTCGACGAGCGTCTCCTCCAGGCCGCAGTCCAAAGTAAAGAAGTTGAAGTCGGAAAGTAGCTGCAAGAACTGCAGAACCGCGAATCGGAAGGCCACGCGGGAGCACGAGCATGATTTCATCATCTCGATGCTCAAAAGATCAGTGCAAGAGACCTGGTGCTCAGCACATTCGCAATGGTTGGACAGCTGTCATAGATGCTTCAGGTCTTTCGTGATGCTGGATGTTTTCCTGGAAAAGCTCGAAGTGGAGAATGCCGACTTGCTGTATGTTCAGTATCCTGCCATGGTCGAAGCTGCTCGGAGAAGACTGATGACATCAGAACCCAACTTATGGCAGGTCCGAGCTGCCTGAGGTTTGCGAAAGCATTCAGGAAGATTCCGTGGACCACGACGAGCTGGACGACATTCCCAGGCTCCTAAACAGAATTCCGCACTCTGCAAGCCCAAACGTCTTACTCCTCCCTCAAACGGTGCTGACAGGATCTTAAAACGGCGCATTGACGACGGAGGTGTGGATGAAGAAGGGGCCCCTGGCCCAAGTCCGGTTGGACGTTGCACGCTTGCTCGATCACATTCAGCAAGCACTGATCGAAGCACTTCTTTCAGGAGATCAGTGACTTCCTCGCACTGCGTCTGAGCTTAAACAACAGAGGTCCGCGAGTTGATTCCAGCAGAGGCCGCGTCCCGATCAAACAAGAAACTACGTCCATACAGTAACATACACCCGACATGGATTGTCGATGGCTTTCTGATTCTGCTTCTTAATGGATAACGATTGTGGCGCAGCCCCAGGACTTGCATAGATATACCGACGGTGGATCCGGCAGGCAAGGCTGCTCCTCGTGCAGACGGCTCACAATGCTCGTATTGTGCCAAGGGCGATACTGGTAGTGCTGTCTAAGGAGCTTACAATGTGTTCCTCTTGCCGAGCTGTACTCAACATTCTCCAGGTCGCGGGCCGGGAACGCTTCGCAGCTCTGCATGAAGGGGCAGAGCAGATCTTCGGCTCAGGAGCTGCTGAGCCGAAACGAGGAGATCGAAGAGCTTTGGGCACGGTTTGTGGCATCAAGCACGGCACTCGAGTTGTCCCATTGCAGTTCATGGTCATGCCAGTATCTATAGAAGCTCCCAGGTTCACAGTGCATCGTGAACAGTCCAAACGGGAAGATGAACCTCACTTTTCTGACAGAGAAGGAGACACCCGAAGATGCGTTGAAGAAGTATGCGCATGTTGTGTGACGACGACAGGCGACTTTCTTCTGTCCATTCAGCTACCAACAAGTCCCAGGCTTAGCTTCGCAGATCTTCGCATTCTCGGTTGACTTCCACAAGCGGCAATGTTTCCGCTGTTTGTCTGCTGAGGCCTCGGCCTCTGCGAGCGCAGGCTCTCTTGGGAAGCTCAAAAACTTCTTCGAAGAGGCGCAGACTGCCATAACGCCCTTTGGTTTGGTGCAGGATTAGCGAAGGTTCAATAGAAAGACTGTTGTTATCTTTGTAGCAGCGGATGCAGTGCATTCGACTGCGTCTCCAAGCCTATGCCCGCCCCGTGCAGGCGCAGGTGCCGGAAGTAGACCGCTAATGCTGGTTTCGGTGCTGCTCTACCATCCACAGGCACGCTACAAGCATGAAGCACTGCATGCATGAAATGTTTACTTGCATCAATGTCAAAGTCGGCGACTTCGATTGTGTCTTTCTTCGCTTTCATGGCAGCTTGTAGGCTTTGTCTCGCAGTCTTGTTTTGGATCCCCTCCTCTGCATCACAGTCCAAAATGGTGGAGGGTCGACACTCTCCATCGTGTTCACTGATCTGAACCCCCAACCGTCCAGTTTAATCATCGTACGTGCCTGTTTCGATCTGTGCAAGGGCAACATGACTTTCCACAGACAGGCGGCTTTTTTCTGCATACCACGCCACTGACGAACATGTTTACCGGTCAGAACAGAAGAAGCAGTTTCAGAATCTCGCCGGCTTCACTCACTTGCGGAACCAAAACCGGATCCAGAGCTGAATCGTTTCAACAAATGTGGAAGCATGCTTTTTTGCCACCCGGCACTCTGGAATTCAGAAGTTTGAACCTGCTGTCCTGCAGTTCATGCCAAAGCAGATTTCTGTGGACCTTTGGTCAAGGAGTCGCCAAAAACCACGCCTATGCTGATTTTTTTTGTAGGTGGTGAAACTTTTGTGCACGCAAGCGCCGGCGCAAGATTCCAGGATGTGCATGAGTTTCGCGCGTGCAAGGTGTGTTGTTGCCGTGTCTTGTCGAGCCCGGCACAGCAACACGTTGGCTCGAGGCATTGATGCGTTTGGACGCATTCAAAGTTGGCTGCCGGATTTTGCGAGATCCCAACGAGGGCTTGCAGGAGGCCGAGCACTTTGCATGTTGTCGCATGCATGCCCTTCACGAAACATGTGGCAGGCGTATAAATCCCATACCAGTGACGAGATGCACTTGCAAAAGGCTTGGATTGTAATCTACGAAATCGGACGCGCCTGTGTGTGGAGTGGTACCAGCATGCGCTGAAGAGCTGGAAGGCTGTCGGATTTCAGTTCTGCGTCTTCGAGGATCTCTACAGGCGTCTGAAACATAGAGCCCTGTCGGCTTCGGAATGCCCAGATGCCGGCGTGATCGTCTTCATCTGAGGCGACACCTACACTGAAAACCACATCGACATGATGGCAGCAATGCGCAAGCCCTACAAGTAGCTGCTTCCATCACATCGAGCAATCGAAAGCCGGCCAGAAAGCCGCAATGAAAGGCTCAAGCTGCGAACGGACTGCGATGCCTTGTCAGGTTCTAAGGTGTCACTATAAGAGCTGTGAGCAAGACCGTGTAAAGTGCAAGAGAAGGGGGCACGCTACGCGTCCCTCGACTCTAGGGGGCATGCTACGCATCCCTCATCTTTACCTTTCTGTGTGACCGCCAACGCAACGTTTGGCTCAAGTCAATGCCCATAGCTAAGTGCTATATGTGTCTTCTATCCTGAGCAATCAGAGCTATCCCGTTGCACAGACGAACCGCCGCCGGCAGTGAGTGCAAAAGGAACGGCCGCCGGTTCTGCCTGCATAGGATTGCACGTGTGGAAGTAAGAGGGAGAGACAGGGTCCAGTCTGTGGAGAGTGCTAGCCATCCACACCTACATTCATTACAGCTCTGGTGGGGAGAGCAGCAACCAAGTCGAGATCAATCCCCCACGCAGGTTATCAGCCGTACGCGGCTCTGCCTTTCTACAGCAACGACTACTTGATCTACTACGACCACAATGAACTCACGATCAAGTCAAGATACGACAATGACTTTCGGTGCCGATGTGGCAGCGCCAGCCGTTGGTGAGTCAACAGCTGATGACACAGTGGTGCAATCCGTTGATAGCTCCCCGGAAGATGACAAAGGTCAATCTTCTGCGCTTGCCATTGCAAAGGCAGTTCCCAAGGGGAAAGCAAAGAGTCTACCAAGAGCATCTACGCCTTCGCGTCCGACATCCACAGGTTCGAGGACGGGCAAGGCTTCAGAACGACGGGCCGACGCGTCTGGTTTTCAGGCACCTCGGACTACGTCCAGGGCCAAGGACAAAGGAGTGAAGACCTTGGAAAAGAAGTCAAGACCATCATCTTCGAGAAGCTCTTCAGCACGATCGAGGACCTCAGCCACTCGTGGGCGTGACAAGTCCATGACGTGGAATCGGATGGTTACCAATCAACCACGAGATGCTGACGATCTGGATATGACTCTGGATACGATTCCTGCACGTGGTGATGCGTCGTCCGTGGCCACGCCTGCCATAGCTGATGGTCCGAACGCTTATCAGGAACTGACGATTTCGCAACAGTTCGAAGCATCGAACCTTGCACAGCAGATGTACTATCGCAGTCAGGTGCAAGAATACGAAGGAATCGTCCAGACCCTGATGGACAAGATCAAGGAGATGCAGCAAGAAGATGAAGGATCTGGAATTCGCATTGAAGAATTGGAACGACAACGTGATCATGCATGCCTAGCCATGAGGCACATCAACAACGTCAATCAGGAGATGAAGCGAGACTATGAAACAGCTTTGTTTCGCATGGATGAGCAGAACTCTGCTCAACAACGTCAAGCACATGCCGTTGCCGAGGATTTAGCTCAACAGCTACACGTGTTTCGCACGGAGGCAGCCACCAACTTTGTGCAGTTGGAGGCAAGAGCGCAAGGTGATGGTGAGCTTATGGCACGTGAGTATGAACGTCTGACTCATGAACTTCATGAACACGCCAGAGAGAACTTGGTCCTCCGATCGAACACAGCAAGTTCGGAACAAGCCTTACAAGCAATGCAGGAACGATTCCACTTGGTCAAGAACCAGGAGTTGCGGGCTGTGAACGAGATCCAAGGGCTAGCTGGAAACAGCGCAGCCATTTAACAAGAACGATTTCGGCTTCGCGAACGTCTTGGTGAAGAGGAAGAGTACCGCAGAATGGCTGTGAAGAGGATGCAAGAAGCAGAGGAACGACTTCATCAGAATGAAGATCATGCAAGGCGATCATTGCCCACCTTGCACGACGAGCTGAGTGAACTCAGGAAAACGCTCAAAGCACAAGAAGATCTTCAAGCGAGGACACGCAGCGAATTGGGGGCAGCACGGAACTCCAACTACCATGGCGGAGTGACACGGCCTTCGAGCATGCCCATGTCTTCGAGGACTACTGAGTCTGGCTGGGAGCACGTAGGAAAAGAAGTAATGCCTGCATTTTCCGTAGGAGATGAGGTACGATCCCCTGAAATACGGTCCCCAAGTCAAGTTAGTCCAGTCGCCAAAGAGAAGTTCGCATTCTCGGAATCGGACAAGGACAAGAACCTTGTGATGGACGGAATTCCATTCACCGGTGGAAACTTCTTCACTGGCCGCAGTTCAATGCCAAGCGTGGCGGATGCAATGCCCGAGCACCACGTGCCAGGTATTAGCAGCCCAGCGCTTGCGCGTTCCACGCCTAGTGCAGCCACTTTGTTTGGCATACCAAGCGGATTTCATGGGAAAAGTGATGCGGCAGCCGTGCGTGATCGACAGCTACGCGAACTCTTGGGGGATCGCGGGATGTTGGGATCGAAGTCCACAGCATCGGCCAGCTCCTCAAGACCTGTTGGCATCGACGGTGTCACCGCATCTACGAAGGGCAACGACCTCATCGGTCCCCCTGTCGCCTATGACGATTCCATCCATGAGGCAAGGAGGAGTCAGATCGAGAAAGAGATCGCGGAACAGTACGAGGAGAAGATTGCTGATCTGCGAAGTGAAGTACTCAAGGCTCAGAAAGCCGAACAACGTCTCAGAGCTGATCGTGATGAGTGGAGATTATTCGCTGAAACGATTCAAGAAAACAATGGAGACGATGACGGTGATGAAGCCGGCGACGAGAACGGAGAGGAAGAGCATGATGAAGGTACCGGCACGGGGTATGATCCTCCAGATCCGCCTGACGACGATGATGACAAGAAGAAAGGTGGAGGGGGCAAACCCGAATCGGATCCTGGCTCGCATGCGCGTGATCCTGATGGAGATGCGGATCCTGAAGTTACAGAGGTGAGAATTTCCAGGAGGGAAGCCGACAAAGTGACCGTTCCTCCATGGCCTACTCTCACTCATCTCAACAACTGGCGATCTGTGTGCACGGCAAATGTCCTAGGGGCATCAGCCGACCCACATCATGAGGACTGGATGTTATGGCTGGCACCAGCGTTCAACCCATTCCCTGATGTCGAAGCATTGAATGATTCAGGACACAAGAAGTTCAAGAGCATCGACGTCAAATTGGGGATTGCCATGGTCGCAATGCTACGTGCCGGTGGTGACAACTCAGCTGACCTGTACCTCGAGGTGAACCGGAAGGCCAACGATTACATCAGCAGGCCTGACGTGAAGATCATCAAAGGACGACAAGTCATTGCGATGATGTACGAAAGTTTTCGAACGCATGATCGTCTTGACATGATCATCACTCTTGAGTATTTGGTGAAGCTCCAGTACCAAGGCGACAACAAGCTTCATACGTTCAAGCAGACATGGTTGGAAGTTCTGGGACGGATGAGACCAGAGGACATTCCATCCAAAACAGCTCTCCGTGATTGCTTGTACAGCAAGATCAAGGACTCGCCCGCAATGAAAATGGACTTGGGCATGCACTATGAACACCTGCCCTACAACCATGAAGATCGATCATACGACAATCTGATGAAGATCATTGATCGTACCATCATGCGGAAACGAGAACAGTCAAATCTCACTCAGACTCAAATTGGCTTGCGTCAGATGCTTGAGGGCAAGGATTTGCTTGCTGCACCGGCCAAGGTACCTGAGAAACCTACGCCTAACGCAGCTCCATCCGCAAAGGTCAAGGCTTCGCCGACCAAGCCGGACAAAGCAACACCTGTACTACCTCAAAGCAAAGCGAAGAGTCATGCGAAGACCAAGCCGAAGCCCAAGAAGAAAACGAGGAGTGAGTCAGCGGACAACAGAGGTGACAAAAGCAAGAAGCAAATCCGCTGCAAGTTCCATTTCACAGATGCAGGGTGTCGAAATGGCGATAAGTGTCCATTCAGTCACTCGAAGAAGACTCCAGAACGACCCTTCACGCCGAGGACGAGAACTCCAAGTCCATCTGGAGGAGGAGCAAACAGGATATGCTACTCGTTCAAGAACACAGGCTCGTGCTCAAGAGAGAATTGTCCTTTCAAGCATGAGGCAGCAGCTACCCCAGCTCCGGAACCAAAGGCAAAAGCTAAAGCTAAATCCGAAGCGAAGGCAGCTCCAGCGAAGCCGAATGCCAAGGCCAAGGCACTCCCTGCTGCACCCGCCATCAGATTGTGCCGAAGGTGGAATCCATCAGCTCCGGCTATATGGAAGCGATCTTCAAAACAAGATGAGGAGGAATCAGATTGTCCATCCGTTGACAGCGACGCTGATTCGGATTGTTCAACAGATGACGAATCCTCGGGAACGACTACGTCGACCCGAAAAGTGATAAAGCGCAATGTGACATTTGCCAATGACGTGAAGTTCATTTCTTCGTGTCCTAGACGATCGAAGAAAGACAAAGAGCGGAAGGTGAAGTACGTCGACATGGAAGCGTTTATCAATGATGAGGATCGCGCCGTGAGCTTGGAATTCGCCAAGCACAAAGCGATATTGAGGGCACAGATCATGAGAGACATGGTTGACGACGATGATGATCAATGCGGAGATCGAGTTTCATTCGTACGAATCCCAGGAACGTCTCGAGTGGAAGAAGTTTCGTTCTACGACGGTGAGGATTCCATCGTTGAGCGCGAACTCGATACTGCACACAGCAAACGGATCATCAATCAAGGCTTGTTCAAATGTATGGTTCAACCAGTCATCCTTAAGAAGAAGATCAAGTTTCTCATGGACACTGGATGTGGTCATGACCTCATATCTCAGAAGAAGATCGAGAAGCACAGTCTCGAGACACTCGTGACTCCAGAGCCCATATCATTTCAGACAGCCAATGGAATAACCGATACCGATCTCGTGTCGAACTTCCAGACTGAGTCGTTCGAGGAACCGATCAACGCTTATGTGTTGGACGACACGCCGTCGGTGCTTTCCATAGGCAAGAGATGTATGAACTTCAACTACGGGTTTGTGTGG